ACAGCGTGTAGAGGCTTCAGTCCACAGCTGGCAGGGTGGCACAGCAGAGGAGAAACAGCTCACAGCGCGGCAGTGGGAAGCAGAGAGAGACCAACAGAGAAGCGGAGCAGCAGACCTTTCCAGGCCACGCCCCAGCAACCCACCTCCGACCAGCTCCACCCCCCAGTGTCACATGGAGTTACTCGCTTGTCACCAGACTCACCCACACGGATGGTGTCCGCCCCACCTACCAGCACACAAAGCTTTAGGGGACACAGGACGTGAGAGAGGAGAGGGTGGTCCTAACGCAAGATGGGCGGTGCCAGGGGAGACAGAGGGAAGGGGACCCAGGAGCAAGCCTTGGTCTGCCCAGGCAGGAGCACCTAGCCTAAGCTCAGAGCCCCATGCAGCCTCCCTGCATTTTGGTGACCAATGTCCCCAACTGAGAGGAACTGAGAGGGCCCAGATTTCCAAATCCCTGCTTTCCATTTTGACACTAAAGAAAGTAGCCAGGCATGGTGGCATACACCTGTAATCCCAGCTTGGGAGGCTGAGGCAGGATTGCCATGAGGTCAAGCCAGGTTTAAGTATATAACAAGACTGTCTCAAACAATAACCCCACCAAAGAAAGTCCCAAGAAAATCAGTGTAAGGTGATCATCCTGCTGTGACCACCTCACTCCGAGAGGACCCTGGGTGCCACGAGAGGGTCACCCCTGCTCACCAGGCAGGGAGGGTCACCCCTGCTCACCAGGCAGGACTGCCCACGTGTATATCTGTGGAGCTGATGGGATTCCCCACACACCCCTGGTGGTCGGTCACATCCCACCTTAACCAGGTATGTGTGACAGCTGGGACAGCATCCTGGGAACAAGTCCTTGGCCGAGAAGGCAGAGCCCGTGGGCCTACTCTGGGCCACCCGCTGCCCTGCCAGGCCTCTCTGGCTGCCCTGTGTGCCCAACGGGTGACCTTGTGTGGTTAACACCGGTGTCGCTGAAAAACAGGCCCACACTGTGTGATTCTCCCAGCAGCCAGTGGCGCAGGGACTCTTTGCAGTCTCTCTGTAGTCTACAAAGAAACTGAGCCTCAGCTGACTTATTTACCTTGCCTGGAGCCCACAGTCGGGGTTGGAGGAGCTCGAACTCAAGGCCCCTCCTTCCTCAGCCCTGCAGCTCAAGGTTCTCTCCCATTGCACCCTGTGGTCCTTTGTCCCTTGTGGTCTCCAGTGCACTCACAGTAGCCACCCTGCTGCTCCCTGGGCTTCCCCGCAGGACGCAGCTCACCTTTCCGGGCAGCCAGCAGAGGACTGCCTGGGGAGCGAGCTGGGGGCTCAGTGGACCTGGAGCCTGAGCTTTGGGTGCTGTCAGCAGCCTCGGAGACGCTGTGAGCACAGCCGGCTCGCGGAAGGGAGGGACCCTTCCTCTCACACGTGCACATGTGCTGCTCTATTTTTAAGACTCTTCCTTGGAATGCAGTAGGTCTGGAACGTGTGCAATTTCCATGCAGTGGGAGGGAAAATCTACAGCTCAACTCTACAGATTATGCAAACCACATATTCTCAGTGTCCCCTGTACACTTACATTCCTCACTTGCCTGTGGCCTTAGAGGGTAATAATAATAATAGTAACAGTAATGTGTTGTGTTAAGCCACTAAGTTGTCAAGTGGTTTGTTGTGCAGGAGCAGATAACCCACAAAGGCTTTATTGTGAACTTGATTTTTTAAGTGTAGTAAAAAGCCTTTCAGGTGCATGCAGGGACTGAAGAGATGCTGGCTCACGCGCGGGTGGGGGCCTCCCTGGACACAGTGACAAGGTGGACACTGACTGACCTGGGCAGCACTGGGGAGATGGGAAAAGTTAGCAAACAAAGCAAGCAAGGACCCAGCAGCCCTTGGGAGCATCTACCGAGCAACCGTTCGTTGGTGGCTTTTGGGAGGAGACTTTCATCCTGGGCAGAGATAGTTACATGCATAGTAATGAGAGGACCCTACCTTGCCTGTATCATACAGGGAACTGCAGAAAATCAAAGCACCCCCAAGTGTGGGTGCATCTAAGAAACACAGACCCCATTGGTGGGTCTTGGCTGATCACAGGGGCAAGCCAATGTTAGCAGTGCTGGGGTCCAAGGAAGGGCCCCCCCAGCTCTCCAACAGGCCTGGAGCAGCTCACGGTGAAATGTTCACACTCCAGCGCTCTGCTCCCCAAAGGCTGTTATCTAGGCTTCAGTGTATCGGTGTGGGGGTCAGGCCAGCCCTAACCAGAGGGAGGCTGGGCCAGCAGTGGGCACAACTGCACCCTTGTTTGGCCTCTTGTAAGCTCCCCATCAGTACTTGCTTAAGAACCAGTTCTTTGGAGGCCGATTGCAGCTCGCTGGTAGCGCAGCTTGTGGTGAAGCGAGAGTGGAGCCCGCTGGTAGAGCACTCGCCTAGCATGTGCACGGCCTGGGGTTTGATCCCCAGTGCAAAGAGAGAGACAGAAGGAAAGAAAGAGAAAAGGAAAGCAAGAGAGAAAGAAAGAAAGGGGAGAGAGGGAGGAAAGAGGGGAGGAAAGAAGAAAGAGGGAGATAGAGGTAACTATTTAGGGAGGGCTCTCGTCTGGGGAAATAAGGCGGGAACAAGGCAAACAACTTGGAATTAAAAGGTTCCGGCAGCTGAGCCTTTCTGGCTCAGTGTAGGCAGGAAGAAAGACCCAGAATAGCTGGAGGAGCAGTCACCAGGGAGCCCCCAGCGAGGGCCCGCACCCACTGTGTGTAGAACAGAGCCCTCCAGGTGACATTTTCTAGGTGGTTTTAAGCAAATGCCTTGTAATAATATTTGTGTTAAGTTGCCGTTTATGATTTTTAAGTTCCTAGGCTACCTCAAAAAGATACCTTTGAAAAGAAGGCTAGCTTAGCTGAAAGGTCAGGGGTTTGAAAACCAAACAGTGAGATCAAGCCGCCGGGAGAGCACAGTTCTGCCTGCCTGCCTCTCCTGTGCAGCTGCAGCTCCTGGCTAGCAAGGGCTGGACCCCAGTGGCCACTGGCTGAGGAATTCCCCTGGGGGGCTCTGGATGAGGGGAGAGATGGCAGTCAGTCTGTGGTCAGGGCGGGGTGTGCCTGCAGGCACCACGGGCGCAGGGAGTGATGGATGTGGCGTGGACACACAGGCCCTGGCCCCAAGCCTACTTACTTAGCCAGTGGGCAGTGGTTTCCAGAGAACAAATCCAGTCTCATCGGGGGGAGTTTCCTGGTCAGCCAACTTCTGCTGACCTGGGCATGTCGCCTCATACCCTGCAGTCCACACAATCCGTGCGACACCCTTTCTTCCCTGGTGAGGGCTGTCAGCCCCAGCCCTGCTCCAGGGACTGGATTCAAGTCCTGTTCCACGGACGACAGATGACAGGTTTGAGGCACAGAGATGCTAAGATATTTGCCCAAATAGTAACGGCCACAATTTAAACCTTCCCTGTTGGCCTCTGAGCCTACTGTACTGGCTTCCAGCAAAGGGACCATTTGTGTTTCCTTTGAAGACTTGCTGCTAAGGGCTTGTTTTTATGTGCTAAGACTCCCTGATGAGGCTATCATGCTTTGGTTGAACAGGCCAGCCCAGAACAGGTAGAGAACAAGATAAATACAGGCTCACACAGCCACAAGATCATTAGCCGGAACTGGTCGCTGCTGGCTGGTCTGGGAATGGGCTCTGGGACCCAGGTCTGGGTGGGGTGTCCCCGCTTCCCCTCCCCTCCCCAGCCTGCCCAGGTGTCCTATTCCCAGGACAGCAGCCGCAGCCAGTGGGGTCCACGCAGGGACAGGGACAGGGACAGACCTCCGCAGCTGTGATCCCTGAGCTGGTCCTGCTGACCTTGAACACCCCAGAATCCACTCTGGAGCAGGGATGGGGGTGAGGAGGGCTCCAAGGGGAGATGGTGTGGGACCCTGGGCGGGCGCAGGTTACACAAGCTGGTGCCTAGTCATCTGGCAGGACCCCTGTGGGTCAGAGGACATGAGTGTCGCCAAGACCTCATCCTCTAGTGGCCCAAGCTAGGGTAGGCCCCCCTGTGAAAAGCCCAGAGGAGCTGAGCGGGGAAGGGCGCCAGCGCTGTCCACAGGGACGGATCCTGCCCTCCCTACTCACCACTAGGGGCCTGGCCAGTCCCTCCCGAAGCCTAGGTTCTGAAAGTGACCACTGATGACCAAGTCCAGATTGCCAGGAGGGACCTGGTCGTTCACACCCCAGGCAGCACAAGACAGGGTGCCAGCAGGGGGTTGGGGCGGGGGCTCTAGGAGCAGGGCTGTTCCTTTGTCCGCCTGCGTTCCGCTTCCCCTCATCGGCCCCTCCTAGACTTGCCAGTGCTGGAGCCTCCCTGGGTGCTGGGCTTCTGGAGCCCCACAGGCACCCAGGGGGAGGAGGCCCCGCCAGCTGTGCGGAGCCCCAGCGCTGCCAGCGGGAAGCCTCCTCGTCCCCGCCCTCCCATTACAACCTCAGTCCCCTCAATGAGCCGGAGGTAACCGGGTGCAGCTCCCTTCCTGGGGGCGGGAGAAGTTGGGAAGAGGCGGCCGGCTGGGTGCGGGGTGGAAAGATCCCAGCACCCGGCACACCCCGCCCGCAGCCCTGTTCCCTGGGACGCTCACCCCGGCCCGCACTGCCCCTGGAGAGCGCGGGGACGC